GCCTGAGAAGGTGTCCTACCAACCTATCTCGCCTATTTCTTATTGACTTCCATAGAGTCCTCTGTTCTCCTATTCTTTCTAATACCTCTTCATTTCTAACCTTATCTATCCACGGTATCCTCATCATTCGCCTGTAACCCCACATTTCGAACGCTTCTAACCTTTTCTTTTCCACCGCGCCCAGTGTCTATGTTTCGCACCCGTACAGCGCCGTGCTCCAAACATACACCTTTAACAACCTTTTTCGAATTTCTAAATTAATCGTTCGCGAGCATAGAAATGACTTCTTTTTATTGAAGGGGACTCGACCCTGCACTATCCTCTGCTTTAAATCCCTACTACTCCTTTCGTCCTGACTTATTTGACTTCCTAGATAGCTAAAATGAGCCACTTCTTCTAATTTTTTTTCTCCTTTTTTTATATTTGCTCTTTCTCTACTTTTTCTTCCCTTGCATACCAGTATTTTTGTTTTACTTTTATTAATACCGCTTCCATTTTATTTAAAGCTATCTCTAACTCCTCCTTGCTAATATTACTATATCATTTGCAAATCCAAGCATATTAATCTTTTGCCCTTGTATATCTATCCTTACAGTTGCTCTGTCTTTAATTATGTTGATGGCGTCTTCGATGTATAGATTAAACATTGCCATTATTTGATAAAAAAAAACAATTTATTGTTTTTGAACAAAAATAGTGATGTTTTATTATTTGTGATNATTAGAAAAAGTAATATCTTTTATAAATCTAATCCTGTAGCCGAGATGATTGTAGATTTAATTATAGACTACACATTTTCATTGGCTGTTACAAAGGCACTTCACTGCGTTTTGCATAGTTTTGTTGTTTATTTGCAATTGCAATTGTCCCATTTTTAATCAGTGAAATGGAAAGCAAGGTGTGTAGAGAAAGTGAAAGATGTAGAGAGACAGATACAGAAAAAGTGAGTGATTGCTGTTCTGTTTATGATTAAAAAACTGAGAAGGTTATTATGATCTTGAGATTAAAACGAATATCTATAAATAGGTTTTTCGATTTTATATATATACCGGGGTCTTTCAAGAAGGCGAAAGCAGGTAGGATTGCAAAGGTTTTTAACATTGCAAGAATTTTGTTAAGGTGACATAAGTAACCCTAATAGGGCGCTGGACCTTTTTGTGCTTACATAAAATGGATGAATAATTCGGAATTTTGAAAATTAGCAAAATATATTATTAAATATTAGTTTGAAAATCTATTCTCAAGTTTTATCCACTATAAGTTATATCAAATTAATGAAGAAAAATTTATTGCTGACCCTCGTCGAGAATACAACCCAGGGCCTTTGGCATTTAGTGGATAAAAATTGAGAATGAATTTTCAAATTACTATTTAATATTAACCACTAGGAATTTTAACGTGTGTCAAAATATATCATAAAAACATATCAGAAGTATTGTTAAGGTATATGGGCATATGTTTCGAAATTTACCGTACCAGTGTATGGACTTTCGACAAACCTTTTAATACATACCTAAATTTAGAATATGTGCACGAATTTTATTTTAATTTTTAGTCTAATTAACCATGAGAAATTCATTTTAAAAAGACCAAGCTTACCGATTTCTGAACTGAAAAAATTTGATATGATTTTGAGAATGATGGAAATGTAATACAAAATGATTGCGTATGGAAGCCAATAAGAAATAGACGATATAGGTTGGGAGGACAATTTCTCATACATGAAGGGCTAGTTTTAGAGCCATATAAAAGCAGAAAAAGCAGTTAATTAAGAAGGTAGATAGGATTAGATTATTGTTCGCATATATTTAAAGATGTGGTCGATAAGTAGAAGGTAGAATCTTATGAAACACGTATCCACTATGAACAATTGTATTGTTAACTAGGATGAGTCTGTCTTTTATTTGAGCTTTTATTTCTACTTTCATTTTAATTATGATATATAACGTTAATATCTAATTCCAGTAGGTACTACATCGTATTGCATCCACCTACCCTCTTCTTATATAAAAATTCTGTATGGCACACTACGTAGAATCGACCATTGACAGTTACTGACAATATCTTTTGGTATTAGGTGTTACGTACGTTCAATAGCAACGGATAACAATCTTTCCTTATCTGATATAGCGTCAACTATTATTGAGGAAGGGTTTTGCTTTAGTAATAGGTACGTGTCCAAATTGCGCTCTTCAAAAACAGAACACGTAAGTCGAGGATCGTAAATGTTCGACTTCCATAATGTTCTTCTGCTCAGCAGATTCTCACCCTCTGTGCTGCAACTTTTAAAAAGGTGTTTGCGATGGAAAACGAAGTGTTCAATTACAAATTTAAATTTCGACCCCTCAGTAAGCTAATTGATTTCAAAATGGATGTCTACAACGTCTTATAAAACAAGTTGTTTACATAATGATCGATTAGATTGTATACAGGGTGTAAACATTGCTATCCATCATCATAAGGTCGTCAGTCCTAAGACTAGTTGGACACGCACTTCCACTCTTTCCTATCCTGAGCTAAACTTCGCATTTTCCTAAAACTAGAACAGTCCACATCCTTAACTATTTGCGAACAATAATCTAATCTAGGTCTACCTCTACCCCTCCTAACTCCTGTTTCTGCCTCTAATATGTCTCTGACTAGACCTTCATGCACGAGAAGGTGTCCTACTAACCTATCTCGCCTATTTCCCATTGACTTCCATACAGTCCTCTGTTCTCCTATTCTTTCTAATACCTCTTCATTTCTAACCTTATCTATCCACGGTATCCTCACACCATAACACCATATTTCGGACGCTTCTACCCTTTCCTTTTCCGCCTCCGCTACCGTCCATGGTTCGCACCCGTACAACACCGCTCTCCAAATCTACACCTCTAACAATCTTTTTCGAATTTCTAAATTAATCGTTCGCGAGCATAGAAGTGGCTTCTTTTTATTGAAGGCGACTCGACTCTGCGCTATCCTCTGCTTTATATCCCTACTACTCCTTTCGTCCTGACTTATCTGACTTCCTAGGTATCTAAAATCAGCCACTTCTTCTAATTTTTCGTCTCCTATCTTTATATTCGCTCTTTCCCTACTTTTTCTTCCCTTGCATATCAGTATTTTAGTTTTATTTTTATTTATTTTCATACAGTACTGATCTGTCAG